CTCCCGTGTCCATAGGGGTGTGACAGGGACTGTGGGGGTCTGGAGCCCTCTTGTCAGTTGGGTCTGACAAGGATCCCGAGGGTCGAGAGAACTCCCTGTCCATGGGGTCTGATGGAAACATGGGGTTCAACCAGGACCATGAGGGTCTGGAGCTCTCCTGTCCATTAGGTCTGCCAGGGACCACCGGAGTCTGGACCTTTCTTGATGATAGGGGTCTGATGGGGACTATGGGGGTCTGCAGCCTTCCCTGTTCATGGGGTCTGATGGGGACCTTGGGGATCTCGAGCCCTGCGCCCTCTTGTCTGTGGGGGACTGACAGGGACATTGGGGGGCTGCAGTGCTCTTGTTTGTGGGGGCTGATAGGGATCGTGGAGATCTGGAGCCCTCCTGTCCATGGGGACTACAGGGGTCTGCAACCTTCCCTGTTCTGGGGGTGTGACCAGGAGCATGGGGTTCTGAAGGCATCCTGTATCCTGGGGGGTGTGACCAGGAACATGGGGGTCTGCAGGCCTCCTGTCCAGGGTGTTTAACAGGGATCTTGAGGATCTGGAGCTTTTCTGACATTGGGGTCTGACATGGAACACGGGGGTCTGGAGCCCTCCTGCTCAGGGGAGTCTCATGGGGACCATTGAGGTTTGGAACCTTCCTGTCTATGGGATCTGACCAGGACTGTGGGGTTCTGGAGTCCTCTTGTCCACAGGGGTCTGACAGGGACCATGGGGATCTGGAGCCCTCCCTGTTTGTGGGGTCTGACAGGAACCGTGGGGGTCTGGAACTCTCTCTGTCCACAGGAGTCTGATGGGGGGAACATGGGGGTCTGGAGCCCTCCTGTCCAGGGTATTTGACAGGGATACTGAGACTCTGGAGCCCTCCCTGTCCATGGGGTCTGACAGGGGACAGTGGGGCCTCTGGAACCCTCCCTGTCCATAGGGTCTGACAGGGGACAGTGGGGGTCTGGAGCCCTCCTGCTCCAGGGGGTCTGACTGCACCTGGGTCTGGCTACCAGCCCAGGGGGCCTGAAGCACCCCTGCCCAGGGGAGGTGGCCAGGACCCTCTTGCCGTAGCCTTTCTCACCGTGAGCGTCCATTCTGCCCCGGCCCCATTAAACCTCCTGAAGGGCCTGTCCCTGGCTCTCGGCTCTGTCATGGCCGAGCCGTGACAGCCTGTCCGTGGCTGGCTCTGGCCTCCGGAGAGGGAGGTGTTTCTCTCCCGAGAAGAGCTGTTTATGCCCAGTGATTTTTTTTTTTTTTTTGTTATTTTTTTATTTTTTTTTCACCTCCCTCCATGGTCTCCTGCACAAGCCACAGCAGCAGCTCCATGTCTGCCCAGCCTGGCAGTGCTCTGGCACGACTCTTTATGTAGGTGAAGCAGGGAACGCTGTGAGGATCGTGTTGAGCTATCAGTCTCCTGAGCCTGGAGCTTTGAGCCTATTTATAGGTAGGTTGGGCAGTCTTCAGCATGAAGGACTCGTGCCACGTCCGAATCCGTGGCAAAACGGGGTGTTTTAAGTGGTGCTGTTTTGTTTTCCGTGGCTGTTCCTAGAAAAAATTGGGTTTTACGGAACGCTCCGGGGGACTGGTTGTTAGTAGGTTACGTGGAGAAAGGCGAGTCAGTTTGGAGTCAAGGAACGTGATGCCATTTTAATGCAACTTCTCGGGTGGCAGAGCAAACAGTAAGAGGATACTTGGTTCTAGATCAGCAGCTTTCAGCCTGCAGGCGGTGGGACAACTCACCCAGGGGTCTGTGGGAAGCCATGGAGGAAAGGACATCTGTCTTCTGTAGGCTTGCATTCGTTATACAGATTTCTGCACTGCTAAAGATTTTGTGGCCGACCAGCTGAAAAAAAAAAATATGGAAGTCGGCTTTTCTAGATCACTAACATGTTTTGGTTTAGAGTAAGTGGAGGAGGAGTGGAAAAAAACCTGTGTGTTTGGTTGTGTGTGTTTCTACTGTGCTGCTTCAAAATTCAGAAATTCAGTGTATTTTTAAGAATTACATAACCACTAATAACGTGGTGACTCTCAAGTAGCCCTCAAGAGTTAAATAACAGCAGATCAACGAGGCTGGGTCAAGAAGAGGAAGAGAGGGTTTTATAACGAATGGTGAGCACCGTGCACAGATATTTAAAATTGCACTAGAAAGGAGCCTTTGGGTAGGAGGAGGATTTTAATGCCCTACAAATATGGAACATGAGAAGGAGGATGGAAAGATGAGGTTTGCAGTTTTATGCTGATCTAGTCCAGTAAATGGATCGGGAACGGTTTGTGATGCTTCACATTCTTCAGCTTCTCTTCCATCTTGACTTTATCAATGCAGTTTTTTGCATCTGAAATAGTGAGAATGTCCAGATGCTGAGTGCTGTGGGTGAGGAGGGAATAGGGCATTAAAATAACCAGAAGTTAGTGAAAGGAGTGAGGGGCACTGTAGGGGTGGAAGGACCGGGGTGGTAACCGGCCGGCCGTGGCATGTGCTGGGAGAGCTGGTGTTCCGTGTTGGTTACAGGAGTAATTTGACACCGTGTTACCTACAGAAATATGTTTATTCAGCCCGGGTGGTGCACTTGGTCTGTGCAGGCATATCCTGGTGTTTTTGGGGGGCAAAAAGAACCCTACCTTAACACAGGAAATTACCAGGGATGAGTGTTGGAGATTAGAGGGTACCCGGAGGTGCGCAGTGACACGGGCGTGCCAGCGCCTCGGAATTCCGAGTGTACGTGGAATTGCTGGTGGAATTGATGCACCAGGAAATTGCTTTCTCTATTTTTGTTGGTGAGATGCAGTTAACGTAGAAGGAGCCCTTTGCATCTCCTGTATCCCATTTCTCTTTAATATAAGTAAGATCATTTATCTTCTCGGGCGGCGAGAGGGGGGGAAAAAAAAAAGAATATCTTGTTTTGTAACTTGGTTCACCTTCTCTTCATTTGCTGTCAGCTCATGACAGGGCACAATGTGTGCTGCACACTGTGTTCCTCAGAGCTGTTTTGGTGACAAGTACAACGTATATGAAAAAAAGGGCTATGAAAAATAGGTATTGTGCCAGTTCTCTTCACTTTTTATATAAACAACCCCCATTTATCTCTAAAAGAGATGCTCAGAAGTTTCATTTTAGGGTCTCTTAATGGTTTGCCAAATTTCAGTGGCAAAAAGGTTGCTGTTTTACTCCTTGTAAGCATTCAGAAAGCAGCAAGAAAGGATATATTTAAATTAGTGTTTGCATTGGTTTTGCAGTAGGAAGCAGTGAAACCTTTTATTTTCAGTTTTAATAAAAAGGGAAATTGTGAAATTACTTGAAAAAATGTTTGTTTATGCTCTAGTAGCCTGTTACATGGTTAAAATTAAGAGGATTTCTTTAATCCAGGCTAGATTTTAATTGTTGTAATCACGTGTTTACTAGATTTCTTTTATATTTAAAAGTGAAAACATGCAGTCATGGTTTTTTTGACCTCGTGTATAGCATGACTTAGCTGTACTTCATGTCATATTTGCACGGTGTTTTTCCGTAAACATCTTGCTCCTGGAATTATTGGTAACACCAGAATAGGAGCTTGAAAATACTGTCACGTAAAGGGTGGGAGCACTTGCAAACAGGAAGACTGAAATACAGAGTTAAAAAAGAAAAAAAAAAAAAAGAAATCTCTCCCCAGCAGTTCTCTCAAGTCAGTTCGATGATAATTTTGGATCCCGACCCGTGGTGGTTTTCTAAATGGCTGGAGACGAAATTAACGGGGCTGAAACTGTTTGTCACGAATTTCAGCCTAAACAGGGTTTTTCTTTCGGCTTTGGATTTCGTGCAAATCCAGTAAAACACCCCCCCCCCCCTCCCCCCCTGTCCTTTTCCAGTCCCTCAGGATGCTGCACCTCGGCCAGCAGACGTGGCGTTGTTGTCTAACAGCGAGGCTGGAAATGGGAGTTGTTTGTGCTGAGTTCTACCCTTCCCAAGGTCAGAGATTTCATCCTTCCGTAGATTCCTGATCTGGGAATTTAAACCTTGCTGAGGGTCCTGATTTAGGAGTTTTCATGAACTATTTTGAGCTCTGGAGGGAAATTTGTTAAATGTCCCCATGTCGTGCTTCTTATCAGGCAGAAGTTTGGAGATCTCTGAAAGACTGACGTCTGTGCAGCAAAAATATTAGTGATGGCAGCAAAGGAATCAAGCTGAAAATGTTTTCTGAGTTTCGTATGTAAAAGTGATTTATTTGTCAGGACAACAAAAAAGTGATAATTGTAATAATATGCTTGTTTTCAATAGTTTTAATGAATATGGACATGGAAGTTTTGCTGTTGACAGTGGTTTGTTTTATGAACCCCGTAGTCTAAACTTGTGGGAAGTTTTTTGGATAAGGGGAAACGGTCCTGCTTTGTTTCACAGAGAGCTGAATTTCAGGGCACTGTTACTTGAGAATTACTTTTTCACAATTACGAAGCATTAATGAGCTGATGGTGAGGGTTTTTTTTTTTATTCTTGCTGGGCTAGAGATTTCTTACTAGAATATAAACAAAAGAAACCGGGAAACAAATTATTTAAAAGGCATTCATAACACCATTTGTAAGCCACAATTTTACAAACAGTCCTCTGAACGTGTTTTCTTTAAGGAACAGGTCCTGTTAAGCAACGTAAATTGTGCAGTTGCGTAGAAAATCAGCAGAGTCTGTAAATTCTAAAGCAGTCATCTTATTTTTTCTATCCTATATTTCAAATTCTTCCTCTCTTGCAGCCAAGCCCATGGCGTGCTTATGTGTGCAGAGTGCTGAACAGGAGTCTCATCTGAACAGAAAACTTGTGAAGTCAGCATAGTAGCAATATTTAGATGATATTATTAATTTTTTAAATTTATTTTATTTTTTTCCCCCCTTTGTGTTGTCTTGCCAATTGTTAGAAACAGCAATAGGTTACCTGGGGAGGGGCATATGAGTTGAGCAGAATGGAGAGAGGGAAATCTGGTGAGCATCATGCTCTGCTGTTACAAAATCTGGGTATTTCTGCCCCAGGAACAAGGTGATTTCCCTGTGTGCCACCCCAAAATGTACCAGTTTCAGTGCAGCTGCTGTAGTGCTGAGCCTGAAGTAATCCTTGGGTTTTTTTATAGTGATTATTGGGTTGGGTTGAACACCATCCACAAAACTTCTCCTGCTGCAGGTGGAGTAAGTTTGGGTCTGCCTGGAAAATATACCTTGAATCTGGGGTAGTTCTTTTTCATCTGTGTTGTCATCAGGTATATTTTTCTGGTAGCTTGCAGATTTCCAGAAAAGAAAGATGGGGTTTTTTATTAATTTAATGGCATTGTATATGGAATACCCCCAAAATGTGCTGTTTTAAATGATACCTGCGTTATGCTCAGGTTACTGAATTTTAACATAACTGTAGTATCTTTTCTAGGAGCTTCTGCTAAAATAGAGTTGTAAAATGAAGGCAGGTGCTGGCCTCACGAATTCCAGTGTGCAGAAGAAATAAGGGAGAATCCAGCTGAGGTTCAGTTTAAGCCTATTCAGAAAGAAAACAAGCATTTTATGCTGATTATTATTTACATCAGCACAATAAGGTGTTTCCCAGGGGCCGGGTACTGGGTGGTTGTTGGTTGTGGATCATCCGGGAGAGACGTGCCTGGAGCAGGACGGATCCTGGTGTCGGATTATTGGAACTTGGGAGCTTTCTTGCTACGCAGCAGCTCATGTGAGCAGCTGTGAAGTCTCCTGGGAGGGCGACGATGCCTCCAAAGCCACCGTGTTTACATCCAGCAGGAGGAGGGAAAAGGACATTTCTGGCTATTATCTGGATGTGTTTTGTAAACTGAAAGCGCTTTTAATGCTTTTTTACAGGGTGCAGTTGCTGTATCATTCCCGGTTCTGCAGTGTCGTTTCCCACCCCCCCCTTTATTTTTTTTCTTTTAATTTTAGCATAACTTGTTAATCTGTCAACATCTGCTGCGTGTTGCTGCATCATCTGTAGCTCGTGGGAGATCTTTTAAATCCTAATTTCTGTGACTTTGTGGCAGCGCTCCAGGACCCCGGAGCAATCAGGATTACGTTTATCCCATTGATACAGAGCAGATTCCAAATCTGGAAAGCAGTAGGTATTTTTTTTTTTTTACTTAGTAGGATGCAGGTGGAAGAAAACGCATCTGTAAGAAAAACCTCGGTGGAGCAGCAGCGTTAAAATCCTGCAGCATTAAGTGCTGCGTGTGTTCCGAGGCAGATGTCGGCGACGTCTCGATTCCGTGAAATATTCCGCTCCTTTCCGGGCGATTTTTCCAGCATTGCCCTCTGCCGGAGGAGACCCGCAGCGCCAGGGCTGCCAGGGATTGCTGTGTGGGCTCCTGGATGGAGTTCCTGCCACTTGTCACTCCAGCTTCCTTGTCAGCTCCAGTTCCAACAACCCGTTTTTCTCCTGGAGCGGCAGCAGTGGCCCCTGTTGGAGCCAGATCGTCTGATTCCTGCTCTTTCCTTCTTATCCGTGTCCATGGGCATCTGTTCAGGGAAGCCTGTAGTTGTTTGTATAAACTGAAAGCCAAACAGAGGATCCAACATTATGGGATCAGCTGCTTCTCCAAGGATTATTGTCCTGCTGACTCTGGGAGAGGATTGTGCACCTTGCCCATAAAAAAAGGAACTAAACCAACTTTAATCTTTGGATTATTAGCCCTGTCTGGTTTTGGTAATCCAGACACCTTTAAAACAATATTGACCTAAAAATCAGTGTTTTGAAGGTAAAAAAACCCCGCTTAAATTTAGTAGTGAACACACAATACATGGAACAGGAATGAGGTCAGAGGAACTTCAGTGAGGTTTCATTAGCACTGAATGTGTCTGTTCTGATCAGCCTGATGTATAGCACAACTATTTGAGTGTTGTGGGGTTTGTTTGTTTGGGTTTTTTAATTTAGTTTTTGTTATTGGTTTGGGTTTTTGTGGTTTTGTGTTGGTTTTTTTTGTTGTTTTGTTCAGTGGTTTTTATTATTATTTGTTTGGGTTTTTTTGGGGGATGGTATTTTGGTTTTTCGTATGTTTTTGTGGCTTAGGGAAAAGCCTTCTGTTTGTTTTTTTTCAAGGAACTGCAGGTTTCATATATTACTGATGTTGAGGATAAAAGGGGTTAAGAAGGGCAGAGCTCAGTTGTAGTATTTCAGTGGGAGTTCAGTGGGAACCTCTGTTCTCCCAGTCCTTGTTAATGGAATTGCTGACATTCATGAGGAAGTCCTTGCTGAATGCTGGAGAAAAAGAAGTCAGTGATGATGACTGTGGAGAAGTAACCAGGAATTGTGAGCTGAAATGTTATTTATTGAGTAAAGCTGAGTTCCTCAAAAGCAGTATTACTTCAGCACTGAATGAGTCACATCTATAAGCAGCAGTAATTTGTACTGGAGACCAAAATTGTGTAATATAGTTGAGGGGAAAATGCTGGTAGAGAGGTTTGATGGGTTAACCCAGGCCTTCAGTGTTGTAATGGGAGAGAAGCATCTGTTGGAGCACTCTTCCAATTACAGCAGCATGGAAAATAGATTCTCATGGTGCAGCCTGGATGGCAGGGTCCAGTCCTTCACTACTGCAAGCAGACGTGGAGTATGATTCCTGCAAGAGCTTTCAGGCTCCAAATTGGAAC